CGCTTCGGTCGGGTGTGCCATTGGAGTTGCTGAGGTTCAGATCGAGCGCTTCGAAGGACCGCATGGACTGGTCGAGCTTGCGACCGAGGGTCTCGAGTGTCTGGTCATGTTGGGCTTCAGCTCGGCGTACGTTCGACAGCAATTCGGATTCGGTCTCCTGGAGATCTTCGGACAAGGTTCCGAGTTGAGCGAGGGCGCCTGTGTGTAGCTAGCTGTCAGTCATGCGCCGTATGCTTGTTTCGGGGCACAGAGCAACCTACTCTCGAAAGTGCGGATCAGAGGTTTCGAGTCGAAAGCCTGCTGCGAGGGTCCCGATCGGCGGTTGACCGGCACAGCCGTTTCCGCGAGGGCGTCAATAAAGTCACGGACGATGAAGTCCTTGCTGGAGAAGTCCTCCAAGGAGAAGCTGGGTCCTTTGGGAAACAAGGACTTGGCGGTCCCCGACCCAGCTCGCTCCATGGCGGCGGTCGCAATTGGTGTGAGAAGGTGTTGCTCTGGGTCAGACTACAATAATCGCCTTGGTTGGAACTGCAGATCCGAATCGTGGTCGAGTGCGTTGTTGGGCCGACCGAGTCTCGCTTGTTGTCGTCGCGTTGTTGCAGTGTCAAGAGTGTATGTTCGATCGAGACCCGTGATGTGTGACGTGAAAGGCGACGTCAGGATCGATGCAAAAAGGCCAGGAGCACTGACGAGAGAAAAGGTAGTGTGGGTGATGTGATGGTCAGCGACTTAACCCCTCCCAAATGGTGCCTGATTGGAATCGTGGAAGCTGAGGTGCGTCAATGGAGGTGTTCGGGCCTGCGACTCGTCTCGGTCTCAGTCTCGGTGGAGGGCGATCTACAGGGATGCGTCCCACTGGGGTAACATGCCGGCCAGCGGGCTGACACCCCACCAAGCAACTAAGCCACAGGTAGCTTCAGCAGACTGGTGGCGCAGCGTGGGCGTTGTCGCGTCCTGTCGTCGTAATGATCGGGTCCAGCCTTGCCCGCCAATGCAAAGCACGTGGGCCGCGCCTGAATCGCCTCGTACACAGTACCTCGCTCGCCCTTGGGCCCTGGTGGAGGGCTGATTTCGCTGCTACTCTCACCACCTTCGTCGTCATCTGCCAAGCCAGCTCCGGATTGCTCGACACCGCGCCTTACGTGGCATTCTGTGTGCCAAACTACTTAGTGAGCGCGTCGACCGCTGCTACACGACCCTCGCTGTTTTCAACCGTCCACCTGTCTACCATTTCTTTGCTACCGACATACGTCACACACATTGACCACACGACCCTTTCTTAATACCGACGATCTTCGACATTGGCAGCCCGCCATGGCAATGCCCGTGAGAGACCGCAAGCTCTACAAAGCCGAGATATTGCAAGTGAATAAAATTTTGAGTGAGGCGGAAAGGAAAAAGATTATCCATGTGCGTCGTACTTGCTGTCGTTGGGAACGAGGACTCGATCTGACCCCGAGCAGGACTACAAGCCCATAGACCAAGAAGACGACGAGGACGATGAGTGGGCGGAACACAATGTCCCCTCGCACCCTCGGTTCGGCCTCCGACGCGCCCTGCGCAACAAGCTTCATCTCGCCCTCTTCACCATAATGCACAGCATCTTCTCCCTCTACATCAGGATACGACAGGCGTGGCATATTGTGGCCTACCGTATATCCTCCATCCTCTTCTACCACCACCGCACACCCGCTTTCATCGAGAGAGACGTCGACGGACTGAAGAAGAAACCGCAACACCTGAGTGTAGTCCTAAAGGTTGGGCAGGGCGGCAGGCACAGCGCCGAGCTCGAGAGGCTCGTCAACGAGGCGGCCGAGATTGCCGTCTGGTGCACATGCGCCAAGATTCCCACCCTGACGGTGTACGAGAGGACTGGTGAGTGCTCCGCGACTCTTTTCTTCCCGGGACCTGTTTCTGATTCGTAGCAGGCATCTTCAAGAAATACCTGCCCCATGTGCAGCAGTCGATCAACCAAAAGTTCCGCTCCTACTTCGGCCGTCACCAGCCGTCCCTCACCGTCTCGATGCCCCATGCCGACGAGGTCCTCGAATCCCCCGCCCTCGGCGATTTCGCCCGTGCCGACCCCCGCCACCTCAACATCTCCTTCATCTCGGCCGAGGACGGTCGCGAGTCCATGGTCGACCTCACGCGCACGCTCGCCGAGATGTCGCAGAAGAACAAGCTGTCGCCCAAGGACATCGGCATGGATCTCATCGGAGCCGAGCTGTCCGAGGGAATCATGCCTGAGCCCGATCTGCTCATTCTCTTCGGGCCGCATGTCGAGCTCGACGGATACCCGCCGTGGCCGATTCGCCTGACGGAGATCTTCTGCCTTCCCGACAACCAGGAAGTCGGCTACCAAGTGTTCCTGCGTGCGCTCCGCAACTTTGCCAACGCCCAGTTCAGGAAGGGAAAATGAGAAGCAAAAGCCAGGGCCGGCATGTGTGTACACCGCCCCGGGAAACATGGTCAGGGGGGCAGGTATCATACATTTTCCTTTTTTTTTTTTTTTTTTTTTTTTTTTTTGCATCTGCATTTGCTCTCTCGTATCATATAGCTCTCGCTGCCGACAGCTTCCAATCAACTCGATACCCTCATCTCCCTGGCGACGTCGTCCCATCGGTACACAGGACCCGTGCCCACATTGTAGTGGTAATAATTCTCCGTGCCGCCCTTGACGACAGCCCGCCGAAACGTTATGTTGATCCGCCCGCCGTCCTCGGCATGCCTGCCGCTCCGCTTCGGCACAGAATGCAGCCAGTTGGCCTGCGTCGCGCCGCGCATGAGGAGCATATCGCCCGAGCCGAGCGGAAACCTCAGCGTCCCCAGCGCAGCAGGCCGACGCGGGGCCGCCGTCATCGCCGCATCGCCGGGCGGCGGAAACGGCTTGTGCTTGAGCAGAAAGTCGCGGCGCGCGCCGAGCGAGAAGGAGGCGATGGCGGGCGCGGGGCCGAGGAAGCGCTCGTCGTCGCTGTGGAAGGCGATGCTGTCGGCGCCGGTGGCGTAGTAGTTGACGAGGCAGACGTTGAAGGCGCAGCCCGTGGCGGCCTCGGCGGAGCGGCGCAGGGCGTCGAGGCACGCGGGCAGCGGGCGCGGCGGGATGCGGTCGTAGCGCCTGTCGGGGCCGAGGGGGGCGCGGGACGCGGCGTCGACGGGGTGCCCGGCGGCGTTGAACAGGGCTGTGGCGTCGAGGCCGAAGACGGTTGTGTACCGCGGCGTGCTGATGGCGGTCTGGATGCCGCCGCGGGTGATGTTGTACTTGACGCGGTAGAAAGGGAGGTTGGCACCCAGGTGGTTGAAGACCTCATTGAGGAGGCCCGGTGGTATGTAGGGTTCTAATCAACGAGTCCATTGTGGGAGAATGAGACAAAGGGCTTCCCCCCAAGGTCCCCGACGCCCAACAAAATAGCGGCCTGTCGCATACCTGAAAGCTCCCCGAGAGAGCGCCGAGTATGTCGCTGTTTCACCCTCGGCCGACGC